GAAATGCTGAATGCCCTGATCAGACGACTTCACATTAAGGTATGCTAATTAAAAAGCTGATGCCTCAAAAGGGTATAGTCTAAACTCAACACTGCTTTAGATTATAATAAGGTATAATTTAGACTTACAATAAGAGTACGTTTGGTAGAAAAGAAAAGTAGAAGGAATGAAGAAGGTGGAGGAATTTTGAGAGGAAAAATGAAAACGCAGGTTGTTTGGTAGGAGAGAAAAGAGAAAGGAAGAGAAAATGGAGTAGAAAATAATACATGTGGGTCCCACTATTTTTTTTCTTTCCACAAGTGGGCAGAAAATGGGATGAAAAATGAGGACAACTCATTAAAGTGAGCAAAATTACTAAACTACCATTTTCTTCATCAACATCCAAGCAAAAAATTTAAGGGTATAAAAGTAATTTACGAGTAAGATTTTTTCTTTCCTCCCAATTTAACTTCTAATACCAAACAAGTGAAGGTAAGCTTATTTTCTTTCCATATTCTCATACCAAACAACATAAAAGAAAATCAATTTCTTTTCCATCATTGTTATTTTCCATCACTTCCATATTTCCTTTTTATCCTATTTTCTTTTCTTCCTACCAAACATATGCTCCAAATGGAGTATATGGTTTAGACTCCTTTTTGCTAATTGGTTTTATAGCCCAGTGAGAAACCATTGAATCAAATCATTTCCATCGCATTCTAAAAATTAGATAGGTTCTATCTATAATTATTGGTAGCTCCTGAAAAGATCTACTAAATTCATCGAGTTGTTCTAAAGGATCAAAACGGCCAGTTATTAATGGAATTTCTTATCGTAATGGAGCCATGTCAGCAGACGTTATTACCAATACTATTCAAAAACTGAGAAAACATCCGGACTCACTCAGATTGAGTCCGGATATGAGCTACTAGTGAGCTCCACCATCTTACATTCCGATTCAACTCCGCGCCGGCGATGGAATATTTTTCATTTAAAAATTCGTTGCTGTGTTTATCTTAACGTCCTTTGACGATGTTGCAATATAGGTGCGGGCGGGCTTGAGCTTGGATTTTGTGGGAAGCAGGAACTCGTAAGATTGCTTCTCTAAAGAGTCCCTTTCGATAGGATTTCCCGTGTGGCTTGGACATTAACAAGACAAAAAAATGAATTAAATTACAAAAATAATAATAGAATTTATATGGTAGGAACTATCTTTTTCATTGCCAATAGATACTTTGTTGCATGCTTTAGCCGGGATTAAATTTTTCAATAGTATGATCAATGAATAAAAGTAATTATATGTCGTGCACTGTGAATTTTTAATGTGCTTACTCATAAATCAGATAAAATTATTGAAAACTTAATTCATTGAAAAGAAAAATAAAAATTTTTTAAAAAAAACCTTACTTATAAAAATAAACTTGCTTCATTTCCCCATATGCAGCTTGTTTGAGCCATATGGTATATGTTGACCATCAATATTAAGATTAGCAAGTTCAATATCGCCACGTCTGAGCTGTTTCCTTGCTCATTTGGCACAACATATAGCTTAGGCGATAACCTTAAAAACTTGTATCGGACTTCTGCCACCTCCTCGGCCACATGCCCAGCGCCAGAGCGCGCGGCCTATAATTACGTAACATTATAGGTTGGTTTTTTGAGATTTTTTGGGCTTTCTTTGAACTTTTCTTGTACTCTATAAATACCTAATGTTATAGGGATTATAGGTGACGAATTTTCAGAGAGAAAATTTGAGTGTGAGAGTAGAAAACATCTTTTGAGTGTAAGAGAAACACAAAAGTGATTGAGTGATTTTCTCTATATTCGATTTTTTCAACAATATAGTGAAATTTGTGACAGTAGAAATAAAACATAGCCAAATTAGTGAATCTGTATAAAATCCTCGATGTGATTTTGTACTTCTATTTTCCGTTCATTATTTTCGTTCTCCGTTATTTTGCTTAGGTTGAAACTGATTCTTGCTATTACCAATATGTTGAACAAATTCAACTTATTTCAAGTATTTCTCGTCATGAATATCATCCATCACAAGTATCGCAACCTACAATGTTGATAAGCCTCCTAATTTATTGTTGGAGGCCAGAAACTAAAACGCCAATTTATGTTGACTGATCATCAGATCTTTCTACTTGTGCCAAAAATCATGTCCTGTTTTCAAAGGAGAAGGTTGCAGCTTTTTTTTTTTCTAGGATTATTATCACTGATGCTCATGAATTTTAGGTTCATTCTTAATTTACTCTATGAACATTAAAAACTCTCATTTTGTCACTGTACTTTGAATTATTTCCACTTGACCGTATTTGTTGCAATTTCTGTTAAGACCAAATAGAAAAAAAGAGAATAACGCAGTCACGTGATTTTTCTATTAAAGAAAAAAATAAAAACCACATTACCACACTTAATCTCCTTTTTTTCCGTCTAATTTTAACAGAAATGACAACAAAAGGAGTTAAGTCAGAACAATTCAAAATTCAGGGGGTAAAGTGAGTTTTTAAAATTTAAGAGACAAACTGTGAATGACCTTTAAGTTCAGGAACACCAGTGAAAATTATCATGTTTTTTAACTACTACAATTTCAATTCCTGCTAATGGTTTAGCACTCTTTTTTGTTTCTTTGGGCACAAGGCGATCACATTTGCATTTTCTTGAACAATTATGAGAATTCTTTCCCAAAAGTTCTTTGCTTTCTTACTCCTCTTGTTCCAAATTGACGATTAATTTGTATGAAGGTGGAGGTACAAGTACTTCAAATAGAAGTTGATGCCATATAGTCATCTAATATCTACGTACCATTTTTCAAACATCGGATGGAGAGAAAAAAAAAAAAAAAGATAATATCCGTTGAAAAAAAAAAAAATCAAAGTTTAGTTTGATGGAGTTTGTTTTTAAAGTCTCATTCAATAACTGAGATTTGTGCTGCACATAATCCAAAAACAAATGGATATGCAATATAAAATTACTTTTACTCTGAACTTTTGGTATGATGCAAGCTGTGTGAGTTGTGAAATTGATAAATAAACTCCGTGATTAATTGTAAAAACAGTTCTAAAGGTCTTACCATATTCAATCACAATACATTTTTAGCAAAAACACACACAAAAAAAAGTACAATTACATTGATAAAACATGGAAAGGAAAAATATCTAGCACGCCATGATTATAGCTGCCAGAATACGAAAATAAGCCAAGGAATAACGTTTAAATGGTAATTTGAAATAATCATGACAAAAAGGAATAACAAAAAGATTCCACAGAAACAACGATGAGAAAAGCACATCAATGTTTTGGATATTTGAGACTTAGATTGATGATTTTCGAGATAATCTAAACATAAAAGAGTAGTTCGATCTATCAAATATAAGATTAGTATCTTAAAAAAAAAAAAGCACCATCTTTCGAGACGTGTGAAGAGAAAAATAAATTCGAGTAACATTTCATTTAAATATAAAATAAATCACTCAAATGTCAAATTTACTATTAATTCATTAATTATAAAATTACATTAGAAATGCTCTGCATTAATGCCACTCAATTCACCATAAAATATCTTGATAGGATACTGGATTATTTTTTTCTTATCAACAAAGATGGTTGGACATCTTAGGAAAGTATTATAGTAAGATATTTGTAATATTCTACCAGAATAATTTTTTTTTTTAAAAAATCAACAAATATGATAAAAATATAAATTGTTGGATTTTAGAGGCATATACGTAATTTTCTCTTAACAAAAAGGCTTGTTGGAGTTCGACTAGAATGAAAAATAACTCGTCGACTCATGCCATTCATTGCCAATTCCTATTTTAGTACTTTAACATTGCGCGAAGAACCAGGCCTAACAGAAGTTGCAAAAACGAAAAAGGCAAAAAAAGAAAAAAAGAAGGAAAAAAAAAGGCAACGGCGGCGACGGAGATTGTGCGTGGGTGAAAAATACCTAAAAAATTGAATATTTTGAAGAGAAGATTTATCCTTAGAATTTTTGTGATATATCTTTTACATTCTTTTGTTCCTAATCATTTCTGTCACCTAAAAGCTCATCTAGAGAGAGTAACACCATCTAACTTTAAACCATGATTTATAATTCTTTACAGTATTTTTCTCTCACAAAAAATACACGTAAAACGAGAATAATTCTGAATTTATAAACCAAACTTCAAGGAAAGTTTCTGCTAGTTCTGATACTTCACCCCATTCTCTTAGACTTGGACCTGGCATAGAAAAATGTCCTGGAAGTCAGTTTCCAAATACACAAGAATACAAAGACTAGTGATGAAGCTTGTGAAAAAACAACTTAAGAAACTTTACTTGTTCTGCGTAGGATTCGGAATGCTCGGAGGTATTCTTCTAAGACTAGCAGCGATCGCGGGCTGTTTAGACCCTGCAGGCTTTACTCTTTCCGAGTTCGAACTCAAAAGAGCATTTTGAGAGGAAGATGGAGATGGAAGAACTCTGGATTGTGCCACAACACTAAGCCAAAGTGAGAACATCAGTAAAATGGCAAGGAAAACTGTAGTCAACGATTTGCAGCGGTTAGATTTCATGGTTTTTTGCTGACTCAAGTGGATATGTCTTGAAAAATTTTGGCAATGCTTTGGTCCCAATGATGAGCAAAAGCTCATTTATATAGTAAATTCAAGATTTGAGAGAGAAAACAAAGAAAAACAAATATATGGTTCCGTTTTACTCGTTGCTTACAATTAAGCTAATATAATATGCAGATTGATTGCAGCTACGTCATGTGATAAATCTTTGACAATTTCAGCTTCCAAGTTCCAAAGCTTGGAACCCCAGAAAAAAACTTGCTTATAGAATTGTGCTTACCGAGGGATAGCATGTGATTAAGCACGTGATTTAATTATAATTAATTGGTTGGCAACTTTGGATTCTTCTCTGCTCAAGTTTTTTACTAATATCAGAATCAGAATGGCAAGTCAAGATATGTGAACAATGTAATTAGGTGTAAAATATTAACTACTAAACCATAAGAAAACAAAGGGTGGTGGTATTATCAATGCAAAATTGCAGTTGAAGTTTGAATGAACAAACTGTTGTAGCTAATAATAATGGTAATTTTATAATAGCAACCGTTTTTAAAAGCAAAATTGATTTACTTTAATGCTTCTTGCTTTCAGCAACAACCCGTTTGACTGAATAGATCAGAGATGACAGATACAAAAATTACAAACTCCCTCCTTTTGTCCTTTCACACCTTAATTTTGAACAAGGATGAGAAACAGACGGGAGAAGAAAACTGTAATGTCTTTAAAGCTTTTCTTGTTTGACAAACGTTAGAAGCATGTTCCAATCAAAAACCTGAACTGAAGTTTATCCGTTTTCGAAACAACTGCATAGCCTACACATCTCCGACCATGAACTAACTCTTTTGAGTTAGAATCACATAGGTTTTGGAACATTGGATCAAGGGAGGCTAACCATATTGCACGCTGCCGAACTGACATCATGTAACGTTTTCCATATGTATGTTATGTCGCTTGTTTGCGGAGGTATTTACAGCTTGTGACACAGAATGCTGCAGTTCTTACAAGATTAGCACACCGTATATTTCTCAAACCTCAAAATGACTTGTCAGCATCTGAATACCTGATAAAAAAAAAAAAAACAATTACAAGCTGGTCAGAAGACCGGGCACACCAGTTTTTCTGACATAGTTTGCCTAGTCAAAATTTGCAACTCTGTAACATGGGACTAGTCTGTAAAGAAACCACCCTGTACGAGTACGACTACTTTTTTGCATAGATTTTTGTGGAGAAAGTCGAGAAATCACTTGTTTTTACTTCTTGGAGACCATGTTACTACTTCCCAAGTAAAAGCTCTTCAATCTCAATTTTCATATTAGATCCAGATAATCCCCTCTTGACTCTACTATCATTAGTCAGAACATCTATCAAAAAGGCCGCCAAAACTGGACGGTGGTCAGAAAATCGGGCCTCTCCACGCCAGTAAAAAAGTTGTCGAATCCCATTTCCGTGCCATAGTATTCTATCACACCTGCAATTCTTAACCAGTTAGGACTTGCCTTTTATTTGTAATAATTGAAGCATACAATTATATTCTTTTAGCGTAGACATACCAAGCTGGAGTTCTCCTTTTGCTTTTCGATTTATGCACCTCCCCAGCATAAGTGTCTGAGTTATAAGAGTACTTGTATGTTGGTGCAAAGTAAATTTTTCCTTCTTTCCATCCTTTGAATACTCGTCCCGCTTCCCTCTCAATCTTGAGCTATGAAAAAATGGAAGAGGAAAAATCTAAGAGACAAACAAAATGAGGAAAGAAGGACTAAGAGTAAATACTGCGATCCCCCGACCAATTCGGACAGTGTGAAACTAATTCTTTCTTTAACCAAAAGTGAAACCAAACGGTTTAAAATTAGTATTCATATATTAACGAATAGAAAACGTGTCCAACAAATTCAATGGCAACAACAAAAACTCAAATCTACACAAGAAGGGGAAAGAGGCCTTTCCAACTTGTATTTCATTTTTACGCCCAAAATTAATGATATGCTCCCAATTTTATTTTGCATTGCATACTCCAAGTGTCAAATTTTCTAGTTGTCAATTTGTGAAAATACCTGATCATTGTCAAAGAGAGCATCCCAGTTTTTAGCCTCTAAAAGTTTTCGTGTGTCGGAGTAGCTCAGAGAGATGCGGTAATTCAGGTCCCCAAGCCATATGATCCGACTAGAGTCATTTTGCAATAGATAAATCAGAAAACAGCTCAAAACATGGTCAAGTATTTTAATCATTAACTAGTAAGATACTCACTCATGATCTAGAATTTTCTCAGGCATCCTACTGTATGGTGTTCTACAAATCTTGGGAAATTGTGTGTTTTTTAAAATCTCTATGACATCAAGATTTCTTCTAAGTTCATCCCCCTCTTTCTCTCCAGATGCCAAGTGACTGCAGACAAAGCAGAAGCTTGTCTGACGGAACTGAAAGCTCACAGATATACAACCCTGCAAAGAAACAATCGATATCATCATGACACATATCGCACTTTATGATCTTTTCTCTTCATCTGAGAGAGAATATTAATAACTAAATCAATAGGCCTGCAATAATTTAACACTACCTTGTTGCCAAGGCAACCCATGATCCCGCGACTAATGCAGCAGGTTCTCATGTGACTAACATATTGAACGAGCTCCGTCCTAATCCAAATAGTGAGGAAAATTCCCACCATTTGCTTACTTGCTACAAGGCTGTACTTCATCTGGCTATTCAAGATATCAAATCCATTAGATCCCTCTTCATCCTCATCGGATGAAAAGTCAACTTCACTTATGTTTGACTGTTGAAGTGGGCAACAGAAGTCCTTTCCATGCCTCCTCTCCAGTTCAGCGGTGCAGTTACAGGCCTTAAGTCTCCTTTTGCTTTCTGTTCTGAAAGCTTTACTGATCTTTCTTAGGGAAGGCTTTGCGAAAAATAGCGACCCTCCAACGCTATTTGTTCTCCTCGGAACCCCTTTGGATTGTTTGTTCAGTGATTGATTCACTAAAGCTAGCCATTTTGCTGCAGGTTCATTATCTTCTATGACCAGCACATTTCCAGCATTCAAAGGAACAATTTCCTGAAAACTGATAGTTTAAGAGAGTAATATAAATACTTATTCAATTGCTGTTTGAAGCAGAAGAAAACAAATAAGTCACCAACAAAACAACTGTTCAGTTATAAGCACAGAAAAACTCAAAACTTTCCCTCCTGCAGTTATGGTGTGTCCATGTGAGTCGAAATTTTATTAGGACCTTGGACCATATAGCAGTGAACTTGTTTATAATTTTCCACAACACAATCTCTTCAAAATTAAAAGGCCCAACAGAATCCAGATCACTTACGGCATTAAAACGCATTAGACAAAGAGTGAAGAGAGAAAAGAAGCAGAAATCTTGATGGAACCTTTCCCAACAGGAAGAAGAAATTAACAGCAAAAAGGATATCAGTCTAGTCATTACATTTTTTTTAGATTTTTCTTCGGAACTACAGCAAAAAGAAGTAAGAGAGGATATATGATATACCCCAGCACATATATGTCTGATGGATTATCAGTGCGAAGGAATTCGTCCAAATTAAGGCCGTTGTGGGGAGAAATTCCTCCTGCATTCCATGTTGCTACAAAAACACTAAACACAAAGCCGAAATAACAGTAAAAAAAATTAGATTGTCTGTCTATATAGTCTATAAGTGGAAAAGCAAGGGACAAGACAGAATTAAGGAGGAAAAGTTATTTGTGATTACCGGTAGGACTCAACATGTTGGCCTAAAACCATTGATGCTCCTTCACTACTTGGATGTACAAGCGCAGATTCTGAATCTACTTCTGCAAGGAAAAACAGGCGAAGCGAATTTCAATTAACAATAAACGTCACGCTAGGAAAATTATACTTGAGAAACAAGTAGAAGTTTAACCAGATAAGCTCTTTTGTATGCCTGAATGCTTTACGTAGAAATTCATGACCCAAACCGAACGTAATCCAATTTATCATCTATAACCAATAGTAAAACATGCATAAGGAGCAAAGAAAGAGAAAGGAATATAACCAAAAATGAAAGATAGAAATTGAGACAGAGATAGAGATGGAGAAAGAGAGAGAGATAGAAAAAATGTACCATTTCCACTTCCTTTCTCAAACTAGCTTAAAACTTAAAGATGAATATATTCTCTATTTAGATCAAAATGCAATTATGCTTATCCCATTTTCTTGATGACCATTATCTTTATTTCCATTAAAGTGAATTGAAATCTCTTTGCAGTACAAACTAGTCCATTCAACCTATAAAGAAAAAGGGGCAAGAAAGAAAACTGTTCCATTGGAAGAGAAAAAAAATATAAAACTTATTAATAGTTAAAGCAAGAGGAATATTGGAATGGTACAATCTATGTATGACCATGGAAGACAAGAATCTCTATATGGGTCAGAAATTAAGATTCCACTCCTTTGAGAAGACAGATTGAGCACATTCTATCCTTCTACATTTTCTTGGATAAAAAGATACCCATCACATATAGCACTCACCAATAGAATGCGATTCCGATGATCTTTTCATCATCTGCCTTCCGTCCCTCTCCCGCGCAAATAATTTCTGAATGAAAGTCTATACAAGTCCATTATGAAGAAGAAAAACATAAATTAGATAAAAGAAATTTTAAATTGAATAATGAAAAGGAATGAAAAGAACTCAGAATAAAAAGAAACAATATCATTTTATGAGAAGAAGTTCAAAACTTAAAAAGGAATAGAAAGTAACCTTCTTTTTTCTGTCTTTGTTCCCAATACTCATCCCTGAAACAGGGATTGAATTACCAATGGGGATGACCAAAAATCACAAACCTTAAGACACAATATATATACACGCAAACTATCAGATGATTATCCCTTCAATTAGACCATAGAGACAATAACTTCAAAAGGGAAAACACATGAACAGATCCAACAATCATTTCTGTTTTCATGATTAGAAAATGTTGGTACAAGACTAAAATTAACATGGAGTTCAAATGGATAATAAAAAGAGTAGAAAGAAAGCAAGATAAATAATCTGCAATGTATTTTGTTCTAAAGCATAAAAACAAAAGAATTACCAGGAATGAAGGAAGATGGTTTGGTTTGGCATTCATGAAGAGATCATATCCAAACATAAAATAAAAAGGTGGCAGCCCTCGAGAAAGTCAACTCACCAAGAAATTTTTTTAGAAATCAATAAACTATTGTTTTTTATTTTTTATTTTCCCGGAAAATTTTGGAAAGGAATGAGAAGGGAAAAGGGTGCTTGAATATTCGACGTTCCAGAACTTGGAAACTCCAAAACAATGTTGGTGTTTGATAGTGCAAATGACCGGCAAAAAAAGAAGTGAAAATATATTAATATTGGAGTTCTCAAAGTGGGTGTTAGGAACAAACAACAAGAACAAACGTACGTGCAAAGAAGATTTAAAAAATTATCCCAGTCCCGTTTGTTCTTTTTCTCGGGAAAATGAAACGGAAAAGGAGAAAGAAAAAAAAAAAAAAAAGAAAAGGTCAAAAGTGGGGGATATAGAATCTTACATGTCTCTTCAAACACAACAAGAAACGGTGTCCTGTTTCGACTGTTAATTCTTTGTTTTCTTCTCCAATAGAAAAGCCTTTTTTTTTTCCAAAACTCTTGGTGGCTTTTTTTTTTTTTTTCCTTGTTCGAAAGTAATGAAGATAGTGAGCCGCAAGTTTTTCTTTTTTCTTTTTTTTTAACAATTTTTTTTTTTTTGGTAGAATCGAGATTTAATTTACAATATAAACATACATGTATCTATATAAGCATGTATTTGTGTGTATATACACGTATGTATGTGCGTGTGTATATGCATATATTTGAGAATGAGAATTCAGAACGGTTGATCTTTATTCACCACGTAAAAGTACATGATCTATATATAAGATTTTTATAAACTATATATGTGTGTGTTTTTTCTTCTAATTAAATATAATTTTAGAAGTCTAAAATATAAATTATAAATTTTCCTATAAATGGAAAATAACAACGATTTTTTTTTTCCCTAGCATGAATAGCATAACTTATAGGGTTCTTAAAAAATTAGCCCTTAAATTACATTAGCAAATTTATGAAAATCTCATATCTATTTTTCATGTTGTTTAGAGTAAAATCTTATTGCTTTCGTGGTTGTAGGTACAGTTTAACTGTAAAATTCACATGTGGATTAACTTTTAAATTTAGAATTTAAATTCTTACACCTTCATATTCAAACAAAAAAAAAATCTCACCACCCCAAAGTTTTAAAAACAATTATAACAATAAACTTTAAAAAAATATATTGTCTTTCTTTTGTTTTCTTTATTATTTTCAAGAGAAATAGTAAAAAATAGGCCAATATGAAAAGCTTAAGAAAGTATATAGGCCAATTTTTAGTTATAGAAATTAATAGGCCATAACTTGTCAAGTTATGGTTCATAACTAGATAAATTATGGACAAACTTGTCAAGTTATGGTTCATAACCAGACAAGTTATGGACAATTATGGATAATAACTTGTCAAGTTATGGTTCATAACCAGACAAGTTATGGACGAAAACAGTAATTTAGCCTATTTATTAACTTATGTAAACTATTAGCCTATTAATTTTAATTCATCTCAAGTCTTGACCTATTTTCCTCTTTCTTCCTATTTTCAATTCTAATATTGCTTTTATCATATGAAGAAAAACTATAAGCTCATAACTCTTGTCCATTCCCATTTTGGTGGAACAGATTTATTAACTCTTGCCCATTTTCATTTTTCCATTTTGTTTAAGTCCTAGGTGTGCTCATTTTTAGTGTGTTGAGGTTTTCTCAGACCTCAGACGTACGTCTTTTTCTCTTATGGACCATTAGCCGCCTTTGTATTGTGTGTTTTATTTCTCAATTTTTATTAATTTCTTAACTTATTATTTTTATTTACTTTTTTATATTACTTTGCATAAAATTAGAATTATCATACTAAATTAGATTACTTGAGATATATATTGTTTTTATCTGTCTTTATTTTGTTTCATAAATTTGAATTATTTTTTTTATTATAGTGACTTTTTTACAAAAAAAAAAAGACAAATTTGAATTTATATTTAAAATTAGAAATCAAACGGGGATACTTGATTTCAAAACCAAGTGTACTAATATTTATCATGATATTTTTCTTGCGGACTAATCTTTTTCTTTAAACTTTTTTTCCCATCGTTTTCTCAAAAATTAAAAAGGAGAATGATTTTTTTTTAGCAAAAAAAGGAGAAATATTTTTCATGATGTATTAAGAACTCGTTTAGTTGAAGGATTCGTTCTCTGATTCGAGTTATGGTTCATGATTCGCTACAATATTTTTTCTCATAAAAATACATGTAAATAAAAAATAATTTTAATTTTATAGTTCTAATTTATGAACCAAATAAGCTCTAAATTTGAAGTTTGGTCGCTAAACAAGGGACGCAACGAGAGAGGGAAGGTTTTTTTTATTTTTTTTATGTCAGAAATAGAGCGTTTGATTTTGTTTACTGCGCACGTGCGAGTGATGTGTAATATTAATGCGCTTTTTTGTTTTTGTTTTTGTTTTTGGGGAAGAAAAAAAAAAGTGTTTTTCAGTTAGATATAGAGAAGATGGCAAGCACCTAGTCCGGAATTGACGCGCCCGCCCTGACTTGACCCCATCCACTTCTTTTACCAAGTTTTCAGAGCGGAAAAAAGAAAAGAAAAAATGATTCCCTTTTGCATGATCGACGCGACAATACAAGTTGGCATGAACTGTTATGGAATTTTTTTTTAGCATGTCTATAAACGCTTTCATTTTTCTCTTTTTTTTTTTTTTCTTTTTAATTAATGTATGTGCAACTTAAATTGGATTTAGAAAGATGGCAGTTTCTCTTGTATTTTAAATTTTTTTACCGGCAGTTTTATTTTTTTTAGCCGTTTTCAACTATCATATATGTATCAGAAATTATCTATTTTATATATTTTTTAATCTTATTTGATTTTAACCAGATCTAACAGTCAGATAATTAATTCTACTAGTAGAATGATCTATCAGAGACAGTCCCTAAAAAGATATCATTTGTTGAAACTTTTTCAAATATCAAATAATAAGGTTCTTAATTGTCCACATGACATAATTTGAGGGTGTCTTATTATAGATTATTGGTTTAGATCAATTATCATTAAAATATCAACTGTCAAAATTATTATTTAAGCGTTTATTTTGTTTTATTTAAACAATTAATAAAATTAAACATAGAGAATGTCACTATTATTAAGAGACACATCCTCTTTCCCTCTCTCGGGGCGGCTAGGGTTTTAAGGTGTCAGGGTCTGATAGTTTTAGAGAGTCGATATGTCGGGAGTTGACACGCGTAAGCATGCGGTTTGTCAGAAGTGGATCCAACTAGCCAAGCTTCGATGTGGATGATTATGGTGGGACCTCCGACGAAAAAGAGGGGTCGGTTATGCATAAATTAGGTCGAAGGACGCATGTCCTAAGACCCTTTTTTTTACCGAAATGACGAAAATACCCTGCAAAATATGTTAAAGAATTCACAAACATAAATGAAAGAACTCTAAATGGATTGCTAAACTGACATGGTATTAGAGCGAGAGGTCTTAAGTTCAAACTCTCGTAATTACACTCTTTATCCACATTTAAATTGTCATCATGTGTTAGGTCTTTAATATATCTCGGGTTTAAATATTCACGTATTGGGCTTTCTAATTAATTTATCCACACGATTACCCATTGTCCAGCCCACACGTGAGGGGGAGTGTTAAAGTATAAAAATTATTGTTGGCCCACCTCCTAACAGCTTAAGCTCTTGGGAGGGATTGGTAAACTAACACTGAAGATGAAGAATAGTGGGAGGTGTGACCAAGTAGTTGATGGATATGGAGAAAATGAGGGTGAAGGTGCCTTGATAGAGTAGTACTCTCGAGACAAGCGAGGGATGCTTCACAAGCGAAGATGGTAACTCAAGTGGTGG